GGGGGAAAGAATGTTTTTAGAAGGTAGTAGTAGTAGTCCAAAATTTCTAATTCTAAGAGATCAATTAAAGTAAGGACTTTAAAATATCAAATTAAAAAGAAGTTCATTGATATAATAAATGTAATTCTTTAGAAATATGATCTTTCATGTCAATATTTAAACAGGCTCACATCTTTCCCACTTTGAAAACAAAGCAAAATAATAACAACAATAAAACAGCCCTCAATTGATTCCAAGCTGGCATCAGTTTCTTCTGCTCTACAGAAATGGTTCTTTTGTGTTTATCAATGTGATATATATTGCATATATGTATGTATATGTTATGTATATGTATATATAAAGATACAAGTTCCTGAGAAGATGGAATGGTATTAAAGAGACTGGCATTAGAAAGGAAGACGGGCAGTTCTTCAGTTGTATTAGAAAGGAAAGAAGAAGGGAATAGGTATATTTGTCATATTTAGTGACAGAAAATTTCTCATGTTCCAAGCTAACGGTTATTATGTGTCACTGTGAAGTAGGACAGACAGATCATGTCCTAAGAATAAAGGGGGAGACAATGAAGCTGGAATTTTGAGGGTTGGGAAGGTTTTAAATAGTTATTATGGAAAACGAGGGAGGAAGCTGACTAGAGAAACAGAAGGATTCTCTACCTAGTGTGATGATTTTTCTCCAGCGGTACCCACCAGCCCTGAAGCAGACATAGAGCATGTGGACAGTAAGATTCTGTCATTTTTTCCAACACTGGGGTTTTGTCAGGTAGACATAAAGGAAAACAGTGCAAGAGAGTTTTAGAGTTTTAGCCAGATAATAATATGCAACGGAATTAGACCTGAGCTGTATGGAGAAGAGACAACAGTATATAGATAGGGAGAAAATAGGAGAGTAAATAGACTTGGAGTACCAGTGAACTTCATGGAGAAGTGTAGGAGTAAATGAGTGAGCAAACTGGAAGAATAGGAGGCTACAGTCAGGGAATGGAATGTGTTACTTTGTGAGCTCAGAAGTGGGAGTAACTTTAGGGGATAACAAGATCCAGAGTGTGGCTACAAAAGTGACAATTATGGAGTATTGGGAAGTTTTGAGATGGTGAAAACATTCAGTAACATACCAAGTTATTGGATGAATTATCTATAAGCATATTGTAATCATCTATGTCCCAAATTCTAGGACAAGGACAATTTTGGCTGAAAAGGTAGATAGTGACTGACCCAGGTGCCAAAATTAATAAGGAGGCATGATCAGGGTTACCTGGGTGGCTCAGGTGGTTAAGCTTCAAACTTCAGCTCAGGTCATGATCTCGAGGTTCGTGAGTTCGAGCCCTGCGTGGGCTCTGTGCTGACAGCTCAGAGTCTGGACCCTACTTCAGATTCTGTGACTCCCTCTCTCTCTGCCCCTCCCCCACTCATTCTCTCTCTCTCTCTCTCTCTCTCTCTCTCTTTCCCTCTCTTTCTCTCTCTCAAAAATAAATAAATATTTTTTAAAAAGGAGGCATGATCAGAAGGAAGATGGTATCTTGAGGAGGATTAGAGGATGGTGCAGCTAAATAATATCCATCTCAAAAGAGCTTTGTTGGTATTTAACTCTGGTGCCTAGATCCATGGGTGCAAGATGTGGAAGCAAAGGAGGAGATGTGACCAACTGAGTCTTATGGAAAGCAGTATAAAGTAAGGTAGCTTTGCACATACAGGGATAATTTGAGGCAAAAAGATAATTTGAGGCACAAGATTCATGCTTTTCTTGACCTTAAATAAGTCCATATAGTCATGGAGTTTTAGCAAAGACAGATATATGAGATGTATCAGGAGAGCCAGATAGGATTGCTAAAAGATAACCTACCTTGCTGCTTACTACATTTCAATTTTCTGTAGCTAATTGGGATAGATCTTTAAGTCTTCTTTGGAAACGTATAGATGTCCAGGTATGAACCAGAAGCCAGTGTTGTGGTATTTCTCAATGATACATGTAGGTAGTGAAAGTGAAAAGAGTTATTGGAGGTGGTCTAGTTATTTTGGCTGTGTGAGACGGAAAAGTCAACACCTGTTTGATGTACTCTGCCATCATTCTGTGGACAGTCTTTAGGCAAGATGAGTTTTGTACATGGAAAACTTGGAAGAGAAAAATTTGCCTACAAATTATAATTGCTAAATTGTCAATTCATGGAGCTGGATTACTTCCTTCATAAACAAAGTGGTGGCAGATATAGGACTAGTGAAGGCAATAAAAGTTTCTTTCTTTTTTAAGTTTCTATATGTATTTTGAAAGAGAGAGACTGTGCATGCAAGTGGGGGAGGGGCAGAGAGAGAGGGAGAGAAAGAATCCTAAACAGGCTCCACACTGTTAGTGCAGAGTCCAATGCAGCGCTCGATCCCATGAACTGTGAGATCATGACCTGAGCTGAAATCAAGAGTTGTACACTTAAGGGGCACCTGGATGGCTCAGTCAGTTAAGCGTCCAACTTTGGCTCAGGTCATGGTCTTGGGGTCCCTGAGTTCAAGCCCTATGTTGGGCTCTCTGCTGACAGCTCAGAGCCTGGAGCCTGCTTTGGATTCTGTATCTCCCTCTCTGTCCCTCCCTTGCTCACTCTCTGTCTTTGTTTCTCTCTCTCAAAAATAAATAAACATTTTAAAAAATAAAAAATAAAGAGTTAGATAATTAAGCTGAGTCACCTGAAAGTTTCAGTCACCACCAGAATTGCGTTGATTTTGAAACAATATAGATCTATTATAAAATTTGAGGGGTGCCTCTGACTTTGGCTCAGGTCATGAACTCACAGTTGCGAGTTCGAACCCAGCATCAGGCTCTGTGCTGACAGCTCAGAGCCTGGAGCCTGCTTCAGATTCTGTGTGTCCCTCTCCCTCTGTTCCTCCCCTGTTCGTGCTCTCTCTCTCAAATAAGTAAATAAAGATTTAAAAAGATAAAATTTGAATAATGGTCTTCTAATGGACTTAGGATTGGACATGGGTATAGTTACTCTTTGGGCCACCCAAGCAACATGTCCTTATCTAAGTCCTGGACACAGGTCCTATAGATGAAGGTATGGTCAGATATCAGTCTGAAAAATGCCCCAGAGGGCTGTTCAGTCTTGACTTAGAGAAAGCAAATACCTAAAAATAGAGAAATTTGACTGCTTCTTCAGGTACTGCTTGGACAGCTGTGAAGTTTCAATGGACATTGCTGGTTATAGGTACTTACCTGTTGTTTTCTCCTAATCCAGCCCAATAATTCCAATTGCAGTTGTGGAATTGTATAGATTCAGACTTGATTTAGGCTAGACTTCTCAAAACTCAGAACAAGAGGAAGATTGGCATGGGAGAGTATTAGTCTGGCATTTCTGGCCATATAATATAAATAGTGATATGAAATTCAAATCTTTGAAAAAAGAGGGCCCATTGTATTCTAGCATGATGTAAATTTATTTATTTTGATTGATTGATACATTTATTTATATATATTTCATTTATTTATTTGCCTTTCCAAAGTTATTCTAGGCTATAGTCATCAGACATGATCATGGGGTGATTGGCCTATGCTGCAGATTTTAAAGGCAGTCTTTGTAGTGAGTAGCATTTTGTATAGGTTCAAGGGCAGGGGTCCTCCGTCCCTGTGTCTAAGGACAGGAAAAGTGCTGCTTTTGTATTGGAGGCATCTATTTCAGTGATAAGAGATTAGGGCAAGAAATGTAGGCTAGGGTGTCGGTAAAGGTGAGTAGATCAATTCTTGAATTTTTGAAAGGCTAGTGTTCTGCTAGGATCAAACAAAATGCATCTCTTCCTTGAAATGGTTTTATAGTGGAACAGTGACATTAGAGAAGCAATACCTGATCTGCAAATAACTATAAACCTCTGGATGTCTTTGATGGACTAGAAAGCTTGCCATTCATGGGTATCATATACCTTATTGGGTAACACCAAAAACTTCTGATAAGATATGACTCAGAAATTTGATATTCCGGTTTTTGAATATGTGTTTCTTAGGTTTCACCCTTCTTCCAGATGGCCCAGAGTGACCAAACCAGGGGCATATGTGCCTAACATTTGTTTTTATAGTTTCCAACTACACACAGAATTTAAAATCCTGTTTAAATAACCAGGATTAATGACCCTCTGGTCACTAAAAAATATCATTTCCCTGCCTATCTTTCTTCTTTCTTAACCTAAATCCTTCATATAAGCTTCCCAATTCATATCTACTTTGGAGCCTCTTTTTTTACCTAGCTCTAGGAAATTGATGTAATAATTTCTCACTTCTTCCCCCTGTTCCTTACAATGGATTAAACCAAATTTTTTTAATCCACTTTAATTTATTTGCTTGTTTATATATTTACATTTTTTTTTAATTGAGAGAAAGAGAGAAAGCAAGTGAGCGAGGGCAGAGAGAGAGAGGAAGAAAGAGAGAGTGAAGTAGGACTCACCTGAAGCAGGGCTCCTGTTCACCCAAAGCAGGGCTGGAGCTCACCTGATGCGGAACTCTAACTCACAAACCATGAGATCATGACCTGAGCTGAAGTTGGATGCTTAACCGATTGAGCTACCACGGCTCCCTATATTTATGTATTTTTAAAGCAGACCTCTAAGTAAGCCAAGCAGCTGGGTCTTTGGGACAATAGGCATTTCAGAATTTTGCAAACTCATCAGAAATTTAATATATCATTTCTATAGAACTTTTAATACATTTGTACCAAGCAGAAAGCAATTAATTATAAAACATTCTATAACATCATTTTGAAAGGAAAATTTTGCTACAAACTAAAATGAAAGCAACATTAAAACGAACTCATTTAAATTATACTACTTTGTTTCAAGGACAAGGGAATTCAGAGACAATTTTCTTAGGGGAAAAAAGGAGAAGATTACTGAAATTTCCAGTTTCAGTACTTTCTAGAGTCCATTTTCTTAGTTAAATCACTTTTATAACCTAACTAAAAATTGGTAACCATGCTATTTAAATGATGAGATTTGAGACTTTTTTTAACTAAATGTTTTCTGCTTTTTTTCTAGAGGATCTCTGTCGAGAAGGCCTTATACACCAGGAATAGTTTGTTCTCAATGTAGCAGATATGACAGATGCACAGATTTTCTATGCAGTAAGATAAAGAAAATAACTTAAACATAAAAAATCCATAACACATTCTATGATAAGAAAAATGAAGTGTTGAACACTAGTTTTTCATTGTCACATTAATATTGTTCTTTTGACCATAGGGGTGTTATTATATTATTAAAAGAGGGTTGAAATAGGTTCATCTTTAGATTTTTCTAGACTTCACAGCTATTTCTGCCCTCTCTTACCCCTGTTTTTGCCCTTGGAGACATACCACAATGTCTGAAAGGAAGAATGAGAACAAACAATTTCCCCCTGAAAACACTTCCCAGCTAATTCCTGAAATAGTAGCCTGTTTGAAAATGACTGCTCTAAAGGATAGGATATTCTAAAATATTTATAGAAAGAAAAGAAGTAAAGTAGTTTAATAGCCTTTTATTTTAGTCACCCCCCCCCAAATATTCAAAAGATGAAAGTAGAAAATACGTTTGGTTAAATTTTTCATTCAGTTTTTCCAAACATGAAAGCATATAAAGTATAACTCTCCCTGGAATATATGGTGCTTAGAAGAATGTACTAAGGGATAAATTCAGACACTAAGGGACACATTGTGATTTTGTGATAAAGAAACTAATGGACAATTTCATCATAATGCCACAGCTGAGATGAATCCACCCTAACATTTTTGCCCTTATTTCACTTGAATCAAGATGCAAAATCTTGCTCTTCCTCTTCCCCTTTTCTTTCTCCTTCTAAAAAATTCAATTCTAACACCATTAGGTAGGTCAGAACAAGGGAGGCATCCACATAGAGGGTCACAAGATGTGACATATTAGAGCCTAAGCAGAATGACAAGGGATTCATACACGGTGCAGTGGATATGAGAAAACAGCCTACGCAGGGTTAGGACAGTGTCTGCATAGGGGTATGGCCTTGAATAGAAAGTTAGAGCCCCTTTGGAGAAAGTGAGCCATCCATGCATGAGGTCAGGCTTGAGTTTTCAGAGACAACAGGATGAAGGGTTTCCCATACCCAGACAGCTCAGTATGTGGTATCTGAGCCCAAGTATGTGGAAGAGAGCATCATCATGGGGTGGGAGTAAGAAGCCTGGCATAGAGTATCAGAGACTGAGCAGGTAAAGACTGCATCCACAGAGGGGTGGTTTGGCACTGGTTGTTGGAGCCCAAGCAGAATGAGGAAAGGGTTCACATATAGGAGTGCCCTGACAAAGAGGTATTAAAACCTACACAGGTAAGGGGGCAGCCATGTTTAGGGACAATTTTACATGAGGTGTCAGAGTCCAAACTAGGTGAGGAAAGCTTTAATGTAGGTGAGGTGGCCTGCATGGGAGGGGTCAGAACTCTAGTAGAGTAAGGAGGGAATCTACACACTGGAAAAACCCAAAGCTGGGTTACGCAGTCTGAGCCAGGTAGGAGGGGATCCAAGTGGAGGATCAGCCTATAAGTTGCCAAATTAAATACAGGATGCCCAGTTAAATTTGAAATTCAGTGTAAACAAAAAAAAATATTTTTAGTATATGTATCTTCCAAATACTTACCCAAGAATTTCTTTGTTGTTTTCTGCAATTTGAATTCAACTAGGCATCCTACATATTTTTAAAAATTTTTATTTAAATTTCAGTTAGGGGCACCTGGGTGGCTCAGTTGGTCAAGCATCCAACTTCGGCTCAGTGAGTTCAAGCCCCACATCAGGCTCTGTGCTGACAGAGCCTGGAACCTGCATCAGATTCTGTGTCTCCCTCTCTCTCTGCCCCTCCTCTGCTCGTGCTTTATCTCACTCTGTCTCTCAGAAATAAATAAACAACAACAACAAAAAATTTTAATTTCAGTTAGTTAACAGTGTAATATTAGTTTCAGGTGTACAATATAGTGATTCCACGCTTCCATACAACCCCCAGTGCTCACCAAAGTGCCCTCCTTAATCCCCATCACCTATTTCACCCATCACCTCATCCACCTCCCTTCTGGTAGCCATCAATTTGTTTTCTATAATTAAGTGTCTGTTTCTTGCTTTGCCTCTCTCTTTTTTTCCCCTTTGCTCATTTGTTTTGTTTCTTAAATTCCACATATGAGAGAAGTCATATGGTATTTTTCTTTCTCTGACTGACTTATTTCACTTAGCATAATACTCTGGAACTCCATTCATGGCATTGCAAATGGCAACATCCTATATTTATATTTGCTAAATGTGGCAACTCTACCAGCCTGGTGTAGGGTGTAAGAGTGCAAGCAGGGTGAGGAGGGCACCCATGTAGAAGAGAGGGGAGAAGGAATAACAAGGACTGGAGATATACTGAGGGGATTGATCAAATATACAAATAGGTTAAGGATAATGGGCACCAGTTTTCTCACTGTCAGAGGATGGAGTATAAATATGTAAAGGAAGAAAACAAGCATGAGTCTTGTGATGACTTGGAACTAGAGGTATTTGAACTTAAGGATTTCAATAAATATAAATAATCATAGTTGTAAATATTTGTATATGTATGTACCTACATGCATATATTCCCTAGCTCTGGGATGGCTTTGGAGCAATGGCTTCCCACCCCCAAAGGAATGAGCACAGCTAGCACCCAGATCTTGGTTTCCAAATTCAGGCCTTCACTAAAAAAAACCAGGGCTCACTGGAGAAAGGTTC